TTGTTTGCAAACGTTTCATCATCAGCCGAGAGGATATCTTCAATGCTTGTGAAGTGACAGTGTTCCACTTGTACCTGTTCGCTTATTTATGTTCTTCTCTCTTGTTCTCATTATGTTCCAACTGGTTCATTGTTCAACTGGTCCAAGGGTGGTGATGGGAGGGTGGTCCGTTCTCAGGTCACGGCGTGACCTATTTGTTGCGTCATTTGATCCTCGAGCTGCATTGGAGTGTACATGGTGTGTGACCCAGTTCGATGTACCTGCTTACTAAGTTGACTGAAGAGCGCTAAGCCTTGAGAAGCACCCTGGAGAGTTCTGACTTGGTGAATGATTTTCACTGATTCGAAGTCGAATTGACGTCTTGCTTGATCTTCGTGGAGGGAACTCCGGTATATTGGGTCATGAATGAGATTTATTTTGATGAAGTTGTGAGAAATTGCCTTGAAGAGATACCTTTCTTCTTTCTTCTTGAGTATGTCGTTGCTGCAGTACGTTCGATTTTTCCGAACAGGGTCCTAACAGAGCCTCTATTGTGACAGTGCGGGTGATTACTTTTGAAGTTTCGAATTTGACCCGCATGCGTTGCTTTGCGGTAGACAGTTGTCTCCAGGTTTTATGATACAGTCCTGATGACCAAGATGTTCAATCGCATGACAGTTCAGAATCATTTCTACATACTGACGAAAAATTGCGTAGATGGCAATTAAAATCCAGAAAAGGTTAGGAAGAATACATCGTTGTTGAATAGAAGTTATATTGCTCAACGTCTCTGCCACCTCGGGTGGTCTTCGTCAGGGGGGTACGAATCAGTACCCACTCGGAATCAATATAACAAAGAAGCAGAGACCCAAATAAGATCACCGTGAAAGGTCAACATATCACTGAGCAATGTGATACGGTGTTTGTGTGAAAAACAGGGCTTCTCGAATCGTTTCTCACTGGGCGCACGTCTGGTCGCGTTCAGTAGGCTTGGCCAGATGCGTTTCAAGTTTGCGATTCACATAACCGGGTGTATAGAATGAATTGCGAGTGAATCAGCACAACAATGTTCCCGGTAAGCGATTCTGTGTTGATCCTACGAGATGACGCAAACAGGTGTATGAAAACTGCGACCAATCAGGCTTCACCGATGACGTCAGCAAAGCGCATGCGTGCCACAGCGCCTGAACTACAAACCATAGGCCGATTGTATCAACCAATCAGAAATCGTGCGGTCCAGACGGCAGAAATACTAGAACGCAATTGGCAAATGCCCGGATGACCAATGAGTTTGTTTTGTACATATCGTTTGATCCCCCTAATTTCCTCCAATAAACGAACTACTACTCCTGAGGCCTTTTCCTCGCGTCCCGGTTACGTGTGATATTGCATGCAAGTGCCAGTGTGACCCAGTGTTTACGTGACGTCCGTGATTTCTGTTCTGTGATTCGTATTCCGTGATTCGTGTTTCGTGTTCAATTATTACATTCATCTTGCAATAAAGTCAAGAAAACTGAGAGAATGATTGTCTGATAAGGTTTCTGCGGTGTATTTTATGCTTAAACATCGACAGTTCAACTGATGTGAGAATCGCATCCATGCGCTTCCGTGTACTAACAAACGTGTCAGCCACCTAGCACCATGAGATTGCTGATGATCTCTCTTTAAAGATGTTCCGGGTAGATATTGGCTACGATAAGAGCGATTGGATAACCCACGGCTACTCCGCCCCTTCGGCTTATACAGTTTTTTGGTTGGCGGTGAAAAACTTAGAGCCAAGACAAAGTTGAAGGCCTCTAACAACTTCCAGGAGGAGACTACTGTTATTCTCCACAAGGATTTGAAAGACAGAAGTCCTATTTTCCATCGGGATACCGGTGTACAATGATGTAACAGCGTAACGGAGTTTTTGTCCCATCATTTTGTATAACAACGTCTAATGAGACTTATCACATTGGTTTGTAATAGATTAACGACCCTGTATAGATACTTAGTCAGTCGGTGACTATGTATAGTCAACAATAAGATGAATGAGAAATTTTTGTTTGAGGATCTTTTGAAGTTCAAACAAGCTTGAAAAGCGATTGGTCTTTGGATTCAAGCAGGATAGACCACGTTGATAATCCACGCTTCTCTTTGATCCCCCACGAAAAAAGGAATTAGTTTGGATTTTAACAGTAAATCTGCAAATCCCACAACTTTTGCCGGAGAGAATATTTTGAGTTCCACACTGGATTTTATCAAAACCAGAGAATAAAAATGTCATTCGCATTGCAGACACTCGCCAGAAGGGAGAAGTTAAAAAGCCTAAAAAGCGCATACTAGATTATTTTGACCAGGACATTAGAA